TTTTATATGACGTGCGGGAAAAACAAAAACCATGTCTGTAGTCTAACCCAATTAAAACATAATCCTATTAAATTGGAAATGACATATAATGAAAAGAAATAATGCGAAATGACCTTGTTGCGTTGGTCATATGGTAATTTGAGACATGACATCTATCTACTTTTGCTTCGTCCTTTTTTCGTCTTTTTTAGTACAGTGTCTTCAAACTGAAAATAATCATGTGAAACGTATTACTAGATAATAAATATAAACACTTTTTTTTTTTTTTAGTAAAAATTTGAATTTTAAAACGTTGCATAGAATTAGACTAAGGAAAAATGACATATAAAGAAACTTGAAAATCTTAAATGCCAAAATAAGAAGCTAAGCAAATGTAATGACAAATTGGGAAGTGTTGGCTGATGAGGGATTATACAAATGTTGCTCAATTACAAAAAAGCCCTCCTGTCAGAGTTTAAAAGCAAAGAGAAAGAGAGAGACACAAATTAGCCACTGGTGCTTCCTGGTTTCTAGCTTCCACTATCTGCATTGCTGCCCTAAAAATGCTGGCAAGTGGGAGAGTTGATGACCCTGAAATAGTGTGTACGTAAGAGAGCAGAGGAGTTTGAAGTGGAAGGCTGTTCTGTTTGAAGGGCAAACATCGTTTGTTGTGTCTGATTAGGTGGAAGGACGAAGGTTGGCTTCGATGATTCACCATTGCAATTAATAAGCATCAGCGGTATTTGACTGAGGTAAGTTTAGGGATTTAAGTTTCGTGTTGTGGTCGATGTTTCTAGGTGAGTGGGGGAAGTAATGATTAGGCAATATTTAGAAATGACACGATGAAGTTTGTGAATGGTTGGAATGGCGATTAAGGGTTTATTCTGAGTCTCTGTGGCATGCTATTTTTTTATAACGAAGTTGAGAACTATGACGTTAGGGAAAAATGGGTTTTAAAATGCGTAGGAAAATTGCATGATTAACTAGAAATATTATATAAACGAACTAGAAATGACAATAATATACCGGTAAATAACTATGAAGGAACTTGAAATGACCATATTCACAGTAATAACCTTACTGTCAGTCTGTAATGACCATATTGGTAACGACAGTGAAGGAATTGGAAATGATCATATTCATTGTAATGACCATATTCTCAATTTGTAATGACCATATTCGTAATGGCAATGAAGGAACTGAAAATGACCATATTCATTGTAATGATCATATTCGTAATGATAATAAAGAAACTGAAAATGAACTGAAATAATTAAAGATTTAGTATATGTATAACAAGTATTACTTAATGACCGTATATTGATGACTTTGTAGAATTATATGAGATGGTGTTGGAAGAAGGGGAAGGGTCCATAAGCAAAGAAGTACACAGTGGACTTGTGTTGTTTAGAAGGGACTATACGGCAAAACGAGGAGAGAAGTGTAGAAATACAAGAGAACAAAAAATTGAAGTGGGGAAGGCGTGGAAGCGTTGAGTCGAGAAGAGAGAGATAGGTATAATGAGAAGGCAAACAAAATGAAGCTAGAGAAAGGTGAGAAGAAGAAGTATGATGTTCCCTTGTACACCCAGTACTCATTGCCCAAATTTAAGTTATTGGTTGAGTATGTGAAGAAGAATAAGTGATTAAGGCAGAAAGTTGAGAGGATGGGATTTGGGAACATGCTTAATATGACTGTAAAGCAACTTCCATGTGATCTACTTGTATCATTATTGAGATCCTATGACCCACCAACACATTTTTTTACCATTAGGGGGTAAGGGGAGGCAATTAAAGCAAAAGATATTCATGAGTTTTTAGGTGTACCTCACAGTGGGGAGGAAGTCAAATTTGATGTTGGTAAGGATGACCCAACATATAAGAGGTTTAAAGACACATATTGGAAGGTTCCATTTACCCAGATACTGAAGAGGATACTATTTGGGACAGAAAATAACAATTTTGAATTCCTATTTATGCTTTATATAGTTGGAGTTTTTTTATGTCTTGGGTCAAGCACAACTGTTACATTCAAGTTTGTTGAAAGTGATGCATCGCACGATGGACGGGTTTGGAAAATATGATTGGTCAACATATATAATTAAGAACCTGTAGAAGGAAATGGGAGACTTTGTGAAGATGACAAAAAAGAAAGATTAAAAAGGAACTTGCAATGTTGGAGGGTGTCTTTATTTGTTGCTGGTAAGTCAATATTTTTATTAGTCACTATAATTTTTTTTATATTATTGTTGCATAAGTATGAGCTATATTTATTTGGTTTTGTAGCTATATTTTGTTGAGTGTTTCCCCTTGGAGAAAACTATTAAGCAGGGTTCAACAAGCCCCATTGAATTTTGAACCGAGGAGCAGATAAAGGAGAGGGTGGAGAAAGAAAGAGATAATTGTAATATCCTAATAAAAAAATTCAAAAAAAATTGAAAAATAATATAATATAATATAATAATATTTTAATATATTTATATATAAAAAAAGTCTAACTTTCCGCCGATAGTTGGGGGGGACGGTGGAGGTTAAGTTTGAAAATCCACCTCCCTCCAATAAATGTGCCGGGGGGGTGTTAAATACACCCCCAGCAATTCATTTTTCCCCCGGCAGGCACAAGAAAAAAGAGAGAAAGAGAGTTGGAGTGTGCAAGAGCGAAAGGAGCATACCAGTAAAGGAAATGACAAGCTTTGAAGATATTTTAGGTATATAAAATTACTTCTTTTTATTAAAACTTCTTTATAAATATTTCCTATATATTTTAAGCTTCCTATTTACATTATTACTATAGTTATTGGAGAAAATTTTGAAACTTATATATGATTTAAGTATTGAGTTTTGACAAAAGATGACTATAAAAATTTAGAAGTGAATGAGTTGTTAATTTTAATCAGTTTAGATTTGTCCATTTGCTGGTTTTTAGTATTTAAATTAGTTTTTCTAGTTGAAAAAATCTGTTATATATGATTTATATTATATTTTTACCGATTAAATTCAAGTTAAGTAATTTATTTGGGTTATTTGGCATATTATTAAGATTTTGATCAGTTTAGTTTTATTTATTGGGTGACTGGAGGTTTTAAAATAATTATTGTAGCTAAAAAGTTTATTATTTACGGAAATATATATATATATGATAGTTATACCATTAAAGTTTTGATTAGATTATTTATTTATAAATATTTGAAGTACTATTGAATTTTTGATAGTTTGATTTTGAGGTTTAAACTGAAAATGAGATATTTTAGAATTTAGAACATAGTAATTTTATATTTGGAAATTGTGGAAAATCCTTTTTATTAAGGTAAATAATTTGGAGGTGGTAAATAAATAATTTGGGTTGTTAGAAATTTTAAGTTATTTCTAAAATACTTAATAATTTTTGGGTTATGAGAGTTGCGGGAATTTAGAATAAAAATTCAATTAAATTAAAAATTTAAATAATATAGAGAAGTTTAATTAATTAATTGATTAGTTTATATTAATATGTGGTTATATTAATTGTGTAGATTAATTATTGGTTGAGCAAAGAATTGACCTTGTGGTAATCTTTAGTCTTGCTTTGGCGAGAGGTAATCACTTTCCACTTGTTATATGTGCTAATATGTTGTTTGTGAGTATTTTTCTATTTTTGAATAATATTTGTTATTTGGAATTCGAGTAGATATATTATATCTGTTGAGCTATGAAAATTTTCTTGTGGGATTTTTGGAATTGTGATTGAGAAGTTTGGAAAAGATATATGATTTATATCTTATGGATTATACTGAGAAAAGATTAAGACATTTTAATGATATTGTGAATGGTTGGTTGTTATTTGGATTTTGGATTGAGTGCTATCCTACCACGTGGTAAGGCCGCCATTGGTGCATATTGGTTGGCTTCTTCCTTCGTCCCTAGAGTCAGGGATAGACCTTTGTGGCTTTTTATTCGTCCCCCAAAGTGTGGGATAGGCCTATAATAAGGGATGGACCTTTGTGACTACTTAATCGTCCCCCAAAGTGTGGGATAGGCCTATAGGTCGGTTTGATCTCCTATAGTGAGGGGTAGACTTATGTGGCTTGTGTGTTAGCCCCTGTAATGAGGGTTTGGATGATTGAGATTATTTGAATATATATATTTGTATTTTCATTGATATATATATTGAGATTTAATAATTATCCCACTTGACACCTCACGAGCACATGTTAGTATGTATGATGAGTTGGAAAGTTGGTTAATGAGGCGTTTGTCTCACCCCGTGGTTTTTACTATCTTCAGGTGATAGTTCAGGTGGTGGCCTATTAGGGAAGGCTCCGGAGGCATAGTGTGCTGTTATAACTTGTATAGCCTCCCGGCTTTTGTTTTATGTGTTAACTTGTTATATATTGCCACATAGGGCCCATATACTCTAGTGATGTAAACTAATATTTTTAATTACTATTATCTGATATGGGAGGTCATTGGAAGGCCAGAGATATTTAAGACTTTGCGTATTACACTCATTTGATAGTGTTGCCTTTTGACTAATAGGCTCTATGACTTATATTAAAATGTTTTATCAGTTTGTGTGTCTAAAAGTGTAAGTTTGGTTTGGGCTAACGGTTGAATAATATTTCTGGACTTTGAAAGTCCAAGGCCCAAGTGAATGATTGATATGGCTCGTAATATAAGTTTATTTCCTTTAACCATGATAGCGATTTTAAAATTTTAAGGTTTCTTCTTTTCTATCATGGTTAGTCGTTCGAATAAATTGAAAATTTTGATCTAAATGGGTTTTAAAAGAACGGTTGTCACAATAATAGCATGGGAATATTGTATTGAACTCGTGGCAGTGAGGTTTACTCTGCAGGGGATGATGACAATTCAATTATGTAGTCTTTAGATCTGGTATGCGGGAATTTAGAAAATTTGGCCAAACTAAGCTTAAGCAAGGTTGATACTTGAGATAACAAAACTTGATTTGCAAATGACCAGTCAAGTATTAGGAATGATAACAGTGATCAATTTCTTTGATATCTTCATTTACTGTGTATGCAGGCATTGAAGGAGTTGAGGGCTCGTTTCATGAAGAAGCTTGAAGAAAGTCAGAGGATGTTAATGAAGGCTCTCAATGATGAGCTAATAAAAGTATAGATTGGATTGAACACCAAAGTGAAGGCAATGGGGGAATGAGAAGGCCACTGCTAAAGAAGGAGGTTAAACAGTTGGTGATGATGGTGGTAACGTTGCTGAAGAAACTGAGGACATTGACCAGGTGGTGGAGGAAATTGCAAGAGAGGTTGCAGTGGCAAGTGGAGATGAGGAACTTAATCAGAATGATACCAATAAAGGAGATGATGATCAAGATGAGGATGAAGAAGAACATGACCTTCATGATAGGGAAGGAGGTCATGATTACATGGTTGAGGAGGTGGAAGATGAGGGTGACCGTGATGGTCATGGAGGTAATGATGACGATGATGTGGACAGGGATGAGGAGGAACATGACCATGATGATAAGAAAGGAAGTCATGATTATGTGGTTAAAGAGGTGGAAGATGATGATAAGGAGGTTGAAGATTTAGATGATAAGGGTGAGGAAGATACACATGCAAAGACTGCAACCCCTACCAATCTTCCTTTGCTGTTGGATCGTGAATGGGAGAGCAGTGACAGTAGGTAGGAAGCAGAACCTGAAAAATCCACTGAACTGAGGAGGTCAACAAGGGTAAAGAGTTTCACAATTACATCTCTGTGGATAGAGTTCAAAGCAGCTTCGAGGACAAAGAAGCCAAAAGAGAAAAAGGGACATTTTTTTCACTTTAATATCCCGTAGACCCAAGAATAAGGAGGAGGGAAAGAAGTAAGTATATCCCTGGTTTGCCTGAGTTTTAAATGACACGGTGTGTACTGACAATGACAGCAATCGAATTGATAATGACAATAAACTATATGGGGATGACAAGTGATGATGTTTCCAACACCATACTTTCTGTCATTGACATTTAACAATGTTTGTAGAACTGTCATTAAAATGTTTGATGAAGATATAGATCGATAACAGCTGTTTTCTCTAGGTGGAGTGAACTGAGTAAATAATAGGGTATTTTTGAATGCTTTGTGTTTGCACCCATGCTTGTCTTTGGTGAGATTATTATGTAAGAATGATGTTTTTATTATGTAATATAGGTGCTTAATTTGATGTGCAAGGCAGTGATGAAGGACATGAAGGTAGAGTCGGGGCCAGGGAAGAGGCACATCTTTGATGTGGATTTCATGGTGAGGTTACTTAATTCCAAATCCAAATACCAATGACAAAAATGGAATTGGAAATGACTTGTTCTTTGTTAATGGATTAACAGTTTCATGTCATGCAGAACATGATGGCACATAACCCAACTTGAAAAGCCCAAAAATATAAAAAACTCTTTCTTCCTGAGTTTGTTGGCTATAACTTAGGTGAATGTGATTTCATAATTGGTCTTGCGTTTGTTAGCCAACACTGGCTTTGCGTTGCCATTTAGCCTAGCACATTGGATTTCTACTTATTAGACTCCATGAGTGACTATTTTGGGACTAAGGACATAAAGAAGAAGAAGAAGGTTGTCATCAAGGACCCGGTGGAAATGGCTATGGAGGATTGTGTAAGAAAAAAAGTCATTGTGTTTACCCTAGTTTTTATACTTGTAAAATCATTCATCTTTCTATGTTGGTACTGAAACTTGATGAACCATACCTGAATCTTTTTATAGAGGAATAGGTTCAATATTATCTTGAGCTTGGTCAAGCCAGGACTGGTTGGGAAAAAAGCCAATGTCTGGAATGATATTTGCAGAAGTTTCCTAGTAGAATAACCTATCAGTCTTGTCAATTTCAAATTTTGTTTAGTAAATGAACATGTTAGAGGCGTTAGCTAACTGTGTTGATATTGTTCTGTCCACAGGAGGGATTATAGGGTGCATTACATAATGTGACTAAGAAGATGGGAACCTGGTGTGACACTTAACTACACAAAGGAAGAAGTTACTGGCTTTCGTCATAACCCGATGTGGTGGTTGGTGAATCATGAAATGAAAGAAAAACGTGACGAAGCATTAGATCTTATTCGACAACCAAAACCAACCTAGAGCAGAAAGTCAAAGAAAAGGCATCTGTCCTAGGTGTCTCAATGTTAGGATGATAATTCACTTATTCTCTGCTAGATTGCTGTATGTAATGTGCATTGTAGCCTGACCTAATGTGTACTTTACCAAACCAATGAATATAATTTCAATTTATGATGGTGTAAGTGTTCCATTCTGATGCTTCACAGAGATTGGTATACCTAATAACATCAATGAATGTTGAGATACATGATGCCAATTTCTTTCCCAAGTGATGTTAATGAATCTGAGTTTAACCACACGAAAATAGATAATGACAACAGCCACATTGGATATGTGCTGTTGGTTTCTATTTCTTTTCAAGTTACTCAATTTTACTTCAATATGTCTTGTTTGTATCTATTTGAAAATCACAACAAGTAATCTAAATATAACAACAATGATGATGACATAACATGTTCTTCATATGACATCAGTTTAACATAAACTGTTAGGTTCACCTAATAACATCACTGCCAATAACCAAAAAAAATTTGAAAATGACAATAAATTTTTTGAAAATAACAATAATGAAGATGACATAACCTGTTCTTCATATATAACACCAGTTTAATATAAACTATTAGATTAGCCTGATCACATCACTGCCAATAACAACACTAAATTTGAAAATGACAACAACTTTTCTGAAAATAATAACAATGAAAATGACATCACTTGTTTTTCATATATAATATCAGTTTAACATAAATTGTCAAATTAGCTTGATTATATCACTGCCAATAACAACACTAAATTTGAAAATGGCAACAACTAATGCGTCATTAACAAAAGATAACATCTTCATAACAGTAACTTGGTCTCATGTATTCAATGACAAGTACATATTGGCCACACTTAATGCTCCCTTGTTACTAACATTTCTATCACCTTACTTACAAAAAAAATGTTTGCACCTAGCTCCTAACTACAATCCCAGTCCCAAAATAGTTGACAAGGGTGGAGCATACATCTATGTACACCAAGAAATGACCCATCCTAACTATACTCGAAACTTTATGATGGGTTAGGATTTTTGTAATTCCTCCTTATGTGTCCAGGTTGGTGGTATCTTCCACATTGATATATTTGTTTGTTCTGGAATTGTGATCCATCCTTGTTTGTTTTTGGCCTTCCAGGTGGTCGAGATATTATGGAGGTAGCAAGAATATTTGCTCATTGACATTTTCTATCCTATAGTAATCATTTGGGTGAGGCATGTCTGTTGTTACCATAGAAATCATACTGCGAGCATAAATCTTTTTTTGTGATGACTTTTCATAGCAATTATCAATATAATCATAAACATTGCTATGGACAACCTTGATGGCTGTACAAGTATTGCAACAAAGAGTCCCCATCATTTGCCAAGATCTACAACTGCATTGGTGTAGTCTAAGATCAACCTGATGGTCTCCACATGATGTCGTCACCTTTACTCTTCCCCCACTATAATTTTCAGCATACATATGCTTAGACCCAACCACCATATCCATCACCTTACTGTTTATATTTGGACCAACACAATTCTTCCATTTGGTCATAGCCACATAGGAGGCATGCAGCTTTTTTGCTACTTTCTCTCGGTGCTCATAGATCAATTGGGGTACAATATGCTTTCTCTTATTGACTATCCATGCATTAAATGATTATGCAATATTACTTGTAATATTGTCCCATCTTTTATATGAGAACCTGCTTCTAGCCCACTTATCTACATCCCCATGATTGATAAGCCAATCAAATAGCTAGGGAGAAAAGGCTTTCATGTCATTACTACCTTAAATTTCTTATCTGTCCTTGCATATGCTATTTTATCCAATAAATATAGTGCATCCTCATTTGATCGGCCATTTGTCCTTATTTGCCCTTTATTCATTTTCATCACTTCTAAACTAAAATTCTCCTTAATGTCTCTACAACAAAAGACATACTCTTAACCCCTAAATATTGATGCCACTTCTCTGATGATAGCATTGTGTCGATCTGATACAACTGTCACTTCCACAGAACCCAGAATTTTTTTATCATATAGAAAAACCATGTTTAGTCATCTAGTGTTTCTCCCTTCACAATTGCAATTGCAAACGGCAGTAGCTCGTTCTCTGTGTCACACCTTACTATTAGATCCACTTAGAGTTTAATAAAAACCATTTTAGACCACATTGGATGGTCTTAGGCTTAAAAATTCATGAAAAACGCTGATTTTTGGATTTTTACTGTTCATCGGGTAAAAATCCAGTTTTCTGGCCCAACTTCAAAAATTCATAACTTATTCCATAAAAATCGAAATGAGGTGGTTCAAAATTATATTTAAAGCTCTTTAAGTCCTCTTTCAAGGAAAAATAATATCATTATCCAATTCCTTATGAAAATGTGTCAGGTTTTTGTGAAAGGTAACATTATCCATTTGCCAAAAACTCTTTTTCTAGATTCTGAACCTTAACTTTGAAAAATCATTAAAAATCGTATACTTGGCCATTTTTAACGTGCTGCCTATCAATCTGAATTTCAGGACGTCAACTGTAAGCATACCAAATTTTGTGCTGAGATTCGTTCAGTAACTAAATAAACCGTGGTTCTAAACTAACGTCCTGCTTAAGGGTTACAACACCAACCATTGATAATTATACATAACCAAATGTCCACGAAAATTTTATGGTATGACACCATAATTAGCCTCCATTCTGCAGCTTGCTCTTGAAAAGTTCAGACCCAAAAATGTTACATTATTTTTGGGGGATGAGATTTTTGAAAATCCCATAGCAAGATCAATCAACCAAAACATTACATGCATCAATTACAAGCATTTCAACCTTTTGCTATTAATAGGGAACTACTTTACTTCATACATGTAGTACTCTAACATGCAATAGCCAAGGCATATAAAGCAAGGAGTATAGCTACACAATCATCATCATCATCATCATTTAGTCCAACCACATAATAGCACATGAAATTGCATAGCAATCAATGCAACATTCAACATTAAGGCTAATTAAATCTTACTACCTTAATCCAATGCTCTTTGATTTTTCTTGTTCTTCTTTCTTGCTTCCACAAATTCCAAACCCTAACATGGAAATCCCCAAAAAGGGCAGCAAGTATTATTAAACATTCCACATAAAAGTCAATCACATAACTCAAGAAGCTCCTAAACCCCTTAAAGCCTCTATCTTTGTTTCTTGAATTTTTAGAGTTGTTTTCCATAAACCCTAAAAATTCCCTCTTGACCCTTTCCTACATGGTTTTTCATGTAGATTCCAAATATCTACTTATATTTAACAAAATAAATTTTCCTCTTCCAGTTTCAGCTTGACTGAACCCTTAGGGTTTAAAACTCAAAAATTGCAACTTTGCTTCTATGGCTTCCAACACTTGTTCTTTATGTTTACCCTACACCATTTTTCATTTTGAACACAATGGAAGCCTCAAAACTTTGAAAAACACATCCTAGGGTTCAGATCTTGTCTTGGCCGAAAATGACACTCAAGGAAGTAACCATGGAAAATGCTTCAAAACCAACTATAATCACTTGCAAACACTAGGATCTAGCTTGTGTTGTAGTATTTTAACAAGTGTGATGAGCAAAACTCCCTTTCTCCTTAAACAACCAGTTCGGCCAGCATCAAAAGAGGGAGAGAAGACATATTTTCAACCATAAAAGAGAAAGAAAACAAGGCAAGAACACATCTAGAGCCAAGAACTCACCTTGAACCTTGATTGTATGACCAAAGTTGATGCCTTTCTCTTGGTTTTCCCTCAAAACTCTCTCTTTTTCCCTCTCTTCATGCCTTGCACGAAATTTCCATCTGATTTAGGGGAGAGATGAGCTCATCAATGCTATCAAAATATCCCATGTACAACAATTAATGAAGAGCCAAGTGTCATAAGCCTACTTAGTCTTGCATTTTCTCTTTAATTAACTTAATTCACATTGTAATTAAATTCCAAAGTCAAGATCCTCTCCATTAGTAGCTTGACACTTGGAAAGCTCTAATTATCATCCATTAAAGGCTTGACAAGTGGTAGCTTATGGGCCAAGTAAAGTGCAAGGCTCCGATCAACACTTTATCGGTGCACTTTTACTCCGGGTTTAACTTCTTTTCTAAAATTACAGTGCTCTGGCCTCTGTAATTATTTTCTCTCAGATCCATAAATTATTCTCCTTATTTTTATCTTCCCAAATTGCCCTCTTTGTCTCAAATTTAATTTCCCAATAATTAAATAAAAAGGAAAACTATTTTCCTTCTCTTTAGTAATTTTTCTACTTTTCCAAAGAATTGGAAAAAATCCTGGATACTTGAGGGTCTTCTTTTAATTTCATAATCTCTTACAATTCCTTGGGATTTCATAGGAATTTTCTTGGGATTTTATCCTTCTCAAATATATTTATTTGGAATTTTCCAAATAAGGACCTTAAATCAGCTTAAATTCCTTTGTAATTTCTCTAAAGGCAAATCGGTCATAAAACCAATTTTATAATTCCATATAATTCTCAAGGAACCTTGTCCTTATTTTTCCTTAATTTTCTGAGACTTGGAATTATTTTCCATAATTATTCTTGACCAATTTTCCTTAATTAGTCAAACTTTCATAATTGGCTTGGAAAATTATAATAATTATTTTCCACCAAAATCCTTCTATTTCTCCTTATCGCTTTTGACCCTTAAATATTTAGGAATATTCTTATTTCCCAAATACCATATTTCTAGATGTGACACTGCATCATAAGCTGAAGCTGACAACATTGTCCCCTTGTATGGTTCGCTTAAGTGAGTTTCATCAACATATAGAATATGCCTCGTACCACGTAAAAAACCCTTAATGCATGACCTGTTGGCTATGAAAACACACTCAAACTGGTTCCCAATAGCAGTCCATTCAACTATGGTTTTTTCATTTATTTCCTTAAGCCTTTGGCATATCCATGGTATGAGCATGTATGATTGTTCAAGCCTACCATATATATCTTCCAATGACTTCTCTTTTGCTCTATAAGCCTAGATCAATCCCATACTCTTATTTCAACTTCTTCCTTATCTTACAAGTACGCTTCTCTATATGATCCCTCATCTCATCAATTATTATTGGCAAGTTCAAACTAGCTCTTCCACTATGCATCACTTTCAAGCTATCTTGGGTAGAATGAACATGCCAATTTATAAATGTTATCACTTATAGCACATCACAACTCTTCCCCACATGATTTGCACATAGCTTTCATGGACAACCTTTAACTTTAAACCTTATCGACATAAATTCCTCGCTATTCCTCACATACTTAAGCACAAACTTATGTGCAAGTGCAAACTTGTATGCAGATACCCGAAATGCATCTGCACTTGGAAATGTTGACCTACCCCTGTAAAAAGTCCCCTCTATTTCACATTACTCATCTCACTGCCCTTAATATCTTCAACTCCAATGGATGTATCCACATTAGGGGGCCCACTTCCTCCATTATTGTCACATTTACTTGCATTTTCTTCACTGAGCCAACCATAATCATAACACAAACTAATGGGAGATGCACCTAGTTTCGTTTGCTATGATATACTCATGAATCTCTCTGTTCTGCATTCACAATGACAAGAGTGGTTAATACGAATGACAAGATGAAATTCATAAATGACAACAAATAATGAAGACAAACTTCCACTTATATTTCTGTATTGTTCCTTAGTTGGGGATCCCTTGTCCTTTTTCAACCACATACACATAACCACTGTTCCTATTGTATTGAAAAAGGTTATACATTTCAACATTGTCATAAAGGTCAATAAATATCTTCTCATCAAAGGCTACTGTGTACCTAATGTCATAATTCCTTCCATCACCGCCAATCTACTCACATATCATTAGCCTCAATTCTTCAAGTGTCAGCCCATCCTTAATGCTTCTTAACTTCACGTTACCTCCTTTATATCTCACTTCACCTTCACCATTTGTCACAAATTTCCTTCCCACATAAAAATAACAGAACAACTCCTTCTCACAAGATGACCTAGCTTCAAAATTCATTTTGCATCATTACCTACAGTCATAATAGAACAAAAATGATTATATGACTTAACATTTAGCTCATCACTTCAATTTCACCAACATAATACCATCATCATCAGCTTACACGACCAGATTAAGGTTTGACACATTCATGCTTATAATTTGCAACAAAACACTCATTTCTTTCCTGTCCACACTCATGCTTCATTTTCTCAGAATCAGGAGACTCCATTATTCGAATCCCCCTTTGACATTATGCCTTTATTAACACACTTTGACCTGTTTGTGACACCATCAAACCCCTCTACCTCAGTGTTTTTGCTTCCCCATGCATTCACCCTTTGATTACCTTCCTTCCCTCCATGTTCTATATACCCACACCATCTTCCTACTTTGCCATCCTCTCCAGTCTCCACCTCAAAACTAGCCTCACTCTGATGACATTCCCATCCAATGGAAACAAGAAGATGAACCACCAAATAAAGGAGATGGAGAAAAGAAAGAGAAGAAGAATATAGTCACTGAATACTAACCTTACTTGCTTACTTCGTTCATCAATTGCTTCCCATGTTCATGCTTCTACGTTCATGGTCTCTTCCAACTTTTTTCCCTAGCTCCCACCACACTTTTCTTCTCTTTACCGCAAATGTTTCTTACTTGGGTCATACATGGGCTTTTTTGTAATTAAGCAACATTTCTATAATCCCGCATCAGGTAACATTTCCCAATTTGTCATTACATTTGCTTAGCTTCTTATTTTGGCATATGAGATTTTCAGGTTTCTTCATCTGTCATTTTCCCTTAGACTAACCTGTCGGTGCTTTTGTGATCCCTGTCACATCTAATTAGATGCATAATTGGCCTGCCCTATTTACTTTTCTCTGAATAGTTTCAAATATTCTGTTTTTTTTTTAAAAAATTCTTGTTATCTTTTCCATATGGTACTTGTTTGCCTCCTCACCATTTTGACTATTATTATGCACCTTATATAAATAGTACCCAGGCCAAAAACAATGTGTCAATTACTTAATTTTTAATATAAAATCTAATTAATTAATTTAAATAAATTTAAAAAGCTAAATTAATTATTTAATTATAACAAATATGACATAATCTTTCTAAAATACTCATACACAACATTATATTACATATCATTTTATAAGTTAGCTAAATTAATCTGAGAAAATATTATAAGTATGAGAGATAAAATAGATTAAAGTCTTATATTTAGGATCAAATATAATCTCCCAATTAGTTCTTATATTAATGACCGGGGATAGTAAGAAATTTGGAGACATTAAAGGTGACTCGGTGAGACATGATAGTTATCGACTGATATTCAATTAAGGAATTAAAGATTGAGAAGAGTGAGACATATAAAATGTTGAGAAAAGTGAAAAGTGTGTCAAATAAAGTCCCACATAGGATGGGTGAGAGAAAGTTCAAGTGTATATATAAATTCAAGCTCCCATGAGGGAGCAAATGGGCCAAGAGGAAGGTGAGCCTCATGAGTACAACAACAGACCACCGGGGGAGAAATGCAGTTGAAAACTGGTGATTCCCCCTGCGTGTGAATTCAACTGGGTCTTTCATGTCATATGTAATTAACCTCCATAATCTATGAAATTTTATAGTAAACTTCCTTGATCTTTCATATGGGGCTTTTGATCCATAAAAATAGAGATTTAGATGGTATATTCTTGTGCATTAATTTTAAAGCGTTTGAAACCCCTCAAAATAATCACTTTGCATTATATGAGATAAAACTCTTCACATATCTATCTCTTATCTCTTACAACGTAGAAGTGTTATTTTTAAGCTAATCCAAAAACAGGAACTCACCTTTAGCCAGAAATTTGTCTATGGGTCTTCTCTTTGCACGAAGTGATGGCCAAGAACATTAATCGATATGGCACAACATTACAAACAAGATGACAAGATCAACCTGCTTAGAATGACCAATTTCAAGTTGCCATGTTTTTCTCAGAATTTCACTGCCACGCACAATTCTTCTACTTCCATCTTCATCGTCATCAAACATGAATGTTAAACTTTCAAATTCATTCTTGAACAAGCCGTGAAAGGCACACTTGTGGAATGAAACATAATACAAAGGGTATCTCCAAATAAGCTTGGGAAGATCATATGGCAATCTGTAGAATCCACCAATTAAAATCATAATCCCTTGAATTCCCCCAACAATGATATACCCATTGTGCTATTAGAGAAGATACTCCCAATAACCAGCATGAAGCTCTCAATAGACATAACAATGGCAAATAGCACAGAAGCTAAATACATAAAGCGTCCAACTCCTTTATGCAGACCAGAAAGATAGTAAACTATCAGAACAGGTATCACAGACATCATAGTAGCATGTAAGGTATAGCAGATAATATGTTTCCAATGAGAAAAGCAGTGACTCCATAATGTCCATTCAACCTCTCTCGTTTGGATACCTAACTTGACAAAAAGAAGAAGCCTTCAGTGACAAATTGAACACAACATATAATGGGACAATTATTTATGCTGATATATTACCTTTAATCTTTAATATAAGAGTCAGATAACTAATTTGTAGAAATTAAAAAAATTAGTTAAGTTAGTTATTTGTAACAGATTTTTTAATATTTTTCTAAACTGTGCTATTTAATCATGTGCACTAGAGCCATCCCTTGATTATGAATCCCTTTAATATATGCAATTAATAAATTTGGGAGTCAAAGTGGGTTAAGTCCTTATATTTAGGACGAAAATGAATTATTTGTCTATCTCCTATATTTAAGACCAGAGGTAGTAACCTTTTATATTAGATGTATGATGAAGTACCACATTGAGCAATTAGAAAATTAATCACAACTATATAAAACTGCAAGGAGAGGAATGTTACCTTCATTTCTTCCAAAAGTGGAGGCAACCCGCCAATGAGGGTGATGAAAGTAAGTACTGAAAGAAAAAAAAGCCTCTAGCCTGCCATGCTATTGCATTAAATGGTGGATGATATTAATTAACCATAAAATTTTGTGAAGCCATACATAATCTGTCTTGGTTTGTTTCTCATTATGCCTGAATAGATCCAATTCTTGAACCAATGTCGTAGGATATAGTACCAAGACTTAAGCTATTGCAGCATATACAGTTAGGCGTAAGCAGTAATTGCTCAGATTACGAAACATGTGAAGTGAAGATCTTCTTATAATAACGAGGCACTGGGTCAAAGTATCCACTATGAATTCTCTTCTTCTCTATTGCATCAGAATCCTGAAGTTAATGAAAAAGTTAGTATTTAATTTGTTTATATCAATCTTACTGGTCTTTGATTTTAGAAAACTTGAACATCCTTGCTGTAATATGTATGGCTTTGGTAAGGAGTGTGTAGCGCTCAACGTACACTGTCAATTATTTCTTCCACTTGTTTCTGAATTTGCTTGCCAATTTTTAATGTAAGAGCTTGTTTGACTTTTATTTTGGTCCTATATATAAGACTCCAATCCATTTTGTCTTTCATATTTGTCCATTTTTTAATAATCATAGTTTTAGTTAATATACTTAATAAGTAAGGATATTCTAGGAAAAACAACATTTATTTATTATAAATAAATAACTTAATTAATTTTCTTAATCTACTGAAATTAGTCAATTAGCTCTTATATTAAGGATCGGAGGTAATAGGACTTTACGGGGATGTTTATTACTTCTTCCGTATTTACTCCTTTACCAAAGCCTTCTTCAGGATCCTGCAGATAGTAAGCTTTGAGGGTAACAATAACGCTGAAGTGTCCTAGGTTTCATTGTACACAAGGATGTTGGAAACTACTAACTTATACCTGCTTGTATCGGCCAAGGGAAACCATTTGAAGAAAAAATAAACTAGAGTCAATCAAAGAAGAGATTTCGTGGTCAGCTGCAAATCAGTTCTTGAACTTTCTGTGTTTTATTTGGAAACAATTAAGGTCTTAAATAAGGATATATCTATCTGCTTTAATTTCTAACCTCATTTTCAGCTGAAGCAGGGCCAAAATATACTGTTTCCCCACAAGATAGAATACAAAGATTGTGGAAAAGTTGGATGCTACGATAGTCCTTCGAATGCCATCCCTTATATTTCGACTGGCAATTCTGCTCATAACATAATAAGAAGCTGCACTATCAAGTCCCCTGGTTGGTTCATCAAGGAATAGAAGTCTTGGACGTGTTAGAATCTCAATGCAAATGCCAAGTCTTCTCCTTTGTACCCCACTAAGGCCTTTAGAAGTCCAACCTCCAATCCTTGTGCTAATGGCATCTTGGAGACCCATTTCTCTGATTGTACAGTTTGCTCTCTCCTTCTTCTCTTTTATGGACATGGAATCAGGAAGTTGAAGCTGACATGAATAGTATAAGCTTCTCCAGCTGTTAAAGTCGACAAGAGAGCATCATCTTGACTTGACATATGCCTGTGATTTGCCATGTTAGTTACTGAAATATTTTGGAATTTGGAGATATAGCTTTTGGAATTTTCTCTTACAGATGTTCCATAAGCTAGTTCTTGTTTGTGGCCGTTGATAAGAATCGTCCCAGTTTGCTTTGTATTTGAACCCAATCTTCCCGTAATCATTAGAAGCATGTCTTAGTTAAGTCAATCTGAGAGATACGCATATCAAAATATCATAGAACATGAAGTGGATATAAAACAAAAAAACCGTATCAGAAAAGTGGAACCTGCTAACGCATCAAGGAATGTGGTTTTGCCAGAGCCTGAAGGACCCATTAGAGCTAAAAGCTGTACTGGTTTGGCAAACCCAGTGAGATCCTTCGATATTGGTTTCCTTTTCTTTATTCCACTTCCAACAGTCACCCACCTGTCTCATTTCTTTTGCTTTTTTCTGTGGGTTTCATGGCTAAGAAGTTATCAAATGATGAGGTGACAAACTGATCTGCATTTGTTTGCCGGTGCTCATCTGCAGACATATTGTTTGGTGCAACTGGTGGGATGAAGGGAAGTCATCACGTAGTATCTGTAGTTTCTAATTTCTGGGTAAGTTGGTTCGATTGTGAGAGTCACAAATATATGGCTTCAAGGCGGATAAATTACTTATACTTAGCCTACTTATAACTAACTCGGCCTAGTTCTAACTAAAAACTTTTAGGACAAATTTGCACCTTAACTTTATAAACTATAAATTGATAATGCTTTAGTGCAAATAATTAAAAAGAAGGCTATGTGAGGAATACTACCACATACTTTTTAACAAATAACTAACTTACCTAAATTTATTAATATAAGATCTGTTTAACTAATTTGAGTTAATAAAATTAGTTAACTTAGTCATTTGTCAAAACTGTGTTAGTTTTTCTAAAATACGCCCTTAAATTATTTGTATTGAAACTATTTACTGATGCAATATTTCTTAACATGTGTAATCAATAGGGATAGTTTGAACAAAAATAAGAGATAAAATAGATTGATGTTTTATATTTAGGACCAAATTTAACCCCCAACTAACTCTTTTATTCTGGATGAGAGGTATTATAATTATATCGTTACTCATTAGAACCTATTCCCCCAAAGTTGATCAAATGCATGGCTCCATTGTAGCTCTAAACTCAAAACAGTGTTAATAAGGATTTGGTAGCTTAGGGGGAGTTTGGAACCCTTAGGAAAAAAAAACATTCAAGCAAGTCGAGACAAACCTCTTCTCACTTACTCCTTTGATCCTAAATATAAGATCTATTTTATAGTGTAAATCATATTATAAAATAGGTCTTATATTTAGGACTAGAGGAATATTTATTATTGTAAAATTACTCTCACAAAGTTAATCCAAATACCTCTGAACTTGAATGCTTGGGGCTGCAAACTTTTGGTGGACGTATATAGCAAAACATTAATTAATTCCATGCACAAAGTTAATCTAAATGCTTCACTAAGGATGTTTAGTAAGCAAATGACAACTTCTGATAAACAATTCATAGAAATTTAAGATTTTGTGTTAAAATAACAATTTGCATAATTTCTTGACAAATGACAAGTTTAGTAAGGTGAGCAATAACTTTTAATATGCAATTCATGCAAATTTAATTTTTTTTCTTTTCAAATGACAATTTTTAGATTTATTTAGCAGATGACAAGTTTTGATAAACAATTCATAAGAATTTAAGATTCTGTGTTAAAATGACAATTTGTACAATTCTTTGGTGAATGACAAGTTTAGTAAGACAAATGACAACTTCTGATAAGTAATTTATACAAATTTAATTTACTCTTTTCAAATAACAATTTCTAGATTTATTTAGCAGATGACAAGATCTAATAAGCAATTCATGACAAGTTTAGTAAGACAAATGATAACTTCTGATAAATATTTCATATGAATTTAATTTTTTTTCTTTTCAAATGACAATTTTCAGATTTATTTAGCAGATGATAAGTTTTGATAAGCAATTCATAACAAATTTAGTTATGTTAATGATAATTTTAGTAAAGCAAATGACAACTTCTGATAAGCATTTCATACGAATTTAATTTTCTTTGTTCAAATGACAAAATTTTCAGTTTTCTTTAGTAGATAACAAGTTCAGTAAGACAAATGAAAAAATTTCTCTATTTTTGTCACCACGTTTCGGATTAAGTGAACAACATTAAATAGCTTTACATTGTTACAATATAGAACTGATTAACAGAAAATGTTAACATTCCTTTGCACAATATAAAAAGACCATTATTATCATATTGTTATGTGTTTCTGTCATTGCATTTTTGTCACCATGAGATGATTGTTTTTGAGAGGGAGAGGAACAGAAGGAAGAAGAAGGATAGAGGGAGAGGAAGAGGGAGAGAGAGGAAGAGATGGGGTGATGGAAGAAAGAGAAAAGGAAGGGCATTTTAGTCATTTGGGCTTCATTTCATAATTGCAATTTAAGACCTGGTCTCTCCAAGCAATTTAGTATATTCAGGTGTCTATTTTGCATTTTAGTAATTTGAGGTTTTTTTTTTTGCCATTTTGCCAATAAAAAATCTTCATTGTATTCCCTTTTCATTCCTTTCTATTTTGGGCACCAAACAAGTACTTAACAAAGAATTCTTAGATTCATTTGGTTTATAAGGAAATAGGCCAAGCTAAACATAAAGGCTTTGTTTGTTTTCTTATTTTGAAAACAATTTTTTGTTCTTAAAAACAAAACAAAAAACCTGTTTTACTACTTGTTTTTAGTTAAGTGTTTAAAAAAAAACATAAATTTTTTTAAAAAAACTAGAAAACCAAAAAAAATTTCCCTTTTCTTTTTAATGGCTATTTATTGATAGAAATAAACTCCTATGAGTTTATTATCCAAATTTACGTTCCTATCACGAGTTTATTTAAAATTATGGGTTTGACAATCTTGTTTATGTCAATTTATTGAAGTTGTAAATTTTAACAATAAAATTTCAATCCTCTAATGCAAGTATAGTGGTAGTCCACATAATCAGGACAAAGAAAAAGAAGTAAACATGTGATATCATAGCTTGATAAGAAAGAAGCTTATCAAGAGATTATCTCTCCAAATCTTACTTACAAAACTTGCCCTTGAATTGAACCCCGCATGGGGTTATATAGAAGTTGGAATCAAATCCAACGGTCACAATTATTTTTGGTGTATAGAAGCATATTACATAAGTAGCAAAAGAAGCATGAAAACAATGATGTTAGCTTCAAACAACGCAAACTAATGATTTTTTCCCAATTGCTATAATACAATAATTAGTTCAATACTTCAATCTAAGAAGCATGTGCTTGGCCACATAATAATAATAATCATATAAATCTAGCTAGAAATTAAAATAGAAAAGGAAAAGGAAGATTTGTGATGATTTAAAATCTTTTATACACAATTTAATACCTTATGCTTGAAGATAATCAATTCAATTGTTGTAGTCATATTCTACTATCTTTGGTCCTATTTATAAGACTTGATTTGTAGTTTACAAATGAGATTTTATAAATAGGACTGGAGGTAGTATTATGGGTTTTTTTTAACACATTCTCCATAAGTCCTCTTATCTCTTCCTTCTCCAAGCTTGGGTATATGAAAGAAGGAACCAAGAAGAAAGTATTAATATGAACAAGAAAGACACCTAGTTTATAGTCTACAAATGAGGTCTTATAAATAGGAGCGAAGGTAGTATTATGGATATTTTTAACACATTATCCATATGGCCCTCTTATCTCTTCGTTCTCCAAGCTCGGGAATATGAAAGAAGGAACCAAGAAGAAAGTATTAATATTAACCAAAAAAAGGTGACATTCTCACGACCTAAAAAATGTTAGCTAACTAAGAGTTCATCCCTTTAGTTTTTTCCCTTTCCCTTTCCCATACCCGAACCTACGCAAAAAAGCAAAAAAAAAACAAAAGAAAAGTGCAACTATACAACGCGATTGTTAGATAAAGCAATAAAAAAATTACAACCACCAGGTGAGGTTCAGTTACATGTAAGTAGCAATGAACATAACTTCAATGAATTAATATGAAAGTCATAAATGAAAAGCTAAAGGATTTTAAGCAGTAAGAGCGGAGACAAAGTCTAGAATACATATAACATAAAAAATATGAAAATGATAATCATGTTGATGTTGCTAATCTTTAACTAATTTCTTTTTATTGTTTAGATTTGTCTGTTTTATTTATTTATTTTCCCTAGTTTTGACAATAAGCTATTAGTCTTTAAGCTTTTTTTTAATACATCATTTGTATTTAATGTTTGATTTGTATTAGTTTTGAAGGTTGGAACAATATTTTGACATTTTATTTGTATTAGTTTTGAAAGCCTAAATGATAATTCTTAATGTTTATGAATTAGTTGTTGTGAAACATATTTAAAATGATTTACAAATAGAAAATATACTCCCATGAAATTATTAGACTTTTTTCTTATGATCGAGAGATTATTAGATTTACATAATATTTAAATTTAACACACGTCAATAGTATTAGCAGTTGAAGTAACTGAAAATTTTAGATTTAAAAATAAAAAATGGCTTATACGCATACACACACACACACATATAATATGTGCTGTTTTGTGGGAAAATGACAGATAAAAAAGATGAAATATATGATATTCCAATTTCAAAAGCTAAGGAAATGTAATGACAGAGAGGGAAGTCCTTTCCAAATTAGAATTTTAAAATTCAATAAAATGACAAAAATGCTCTTTGTTTTTTTTTTTTAAAGTTTTGCCCCTCACCGCCCGCCGGCCACTGGTGTGGTGGCTGCCAGTGGAGTTTTTTTGTGATTTTTTTTTTTGCATGGGAAAATGTTGCAAGAAGTGGTGGGGGTGGGATTTGATCCCACAATCCCTTGACCATTTGGGCCAATAAAAAAATAGATGACCATTAGGACATCAAAAACTTCTTAATCTTATAATGCAAAAAATATATATATATATATAAGTTGACTCTTTTACTATAACTCCAGCTCATGGCAACAATTTACCTGAGAATGACAAGTCTTAATTGAAAAATAACAAGTTTAAATTTGATATTAACAAAGTAACTTTTCCTTATACATAACAAGAAGTAGCATGTATATTAATTAAAAATGATTATAATTTATTTGAAAATGACACGTCTTTACTGAAAAATAACAAGTTTAAACTTGAGTTAACAATCTTTTCCTAATACATAACAAGAAATAGTATGTACAGTAATTAAAAATGACCATAATTTATTTGAAAATGACACATCTTTACTAGAAAAAAGACAAGCCTAAATTTGAGATTAACAATGTGTCTTTTCTTGATACACAACAAGAAATAGCATGTACATTAATTAAAAATAACCATAATTTATTTGAAAACAATACGTCTTTACTGAAAAATGATAAGTCTAAACTTGAGATTAACACTATGTCTTTTCTTGATACAAACAATATCTTGCATAATTTGGGAAAAAACTAACACAAACACATGCGCTACCCCTGACCCACCTATTGTTTGTGAACTTGAAATGTGACATTGGATGTTTAATTGTGCAAATTTCTTCGGGTCACCATGATTTTGCTTGGGGGACAACCGATAGCTGCAACCGTAGGCTTTGCATTCTCCTTGGTCTTAGTGATGACCAAGAACAGAAGCCGATATAGAACAATCATTCCAAGCAGGATTGCAAGATCAACCCACTTAGAGTAGCCCATTTCCACTTGCCACGTGTTTGTCAGAATTTCTCTGCCACTAGTGGTTTTGCTGCCTCCATCATGATCAGTGGCAAATGTTAAACCTTCAAACTCATTCTTGAACAATCCTTGGAAGGCATACTTGTGGAATGAAGCATAATATAAAGGGTATCTCCAAAATGGCTTAGGGAGATCGTTTGGCAGTCTATAGAAACCACCAAGTAATATCATGACTCCTTGAATTCCGCCAACAATGATCATCCCCATTATGAAATTAGGGAAGAAGCTCCCAACAACCATCATGAGGCTCTCAACAGACATAACAGTGGCAAACAACACATACGTCAGGTACAAAAAGTGTTCAAGTCCTTTGTGCAGGCCAGAAAGGCAATAAACTATTCCCCCAGGTATCAGAGATATCAGTAGCATATATGGAATAGCAGATAATGTGTTGCCAATCAGAAAAGCAGTAACACCATAGTGTCCATTCAACCTCTCTCGTTTAAATACCTGACTTGACGACACGAAGTGATAAAGTGAGTACAACACATTATAGGATAATGTATTTAGGGTCATGTAATAGAAGCTCAAATGCAAAAGTGTACTGCTTTTGCTTTTTGTTGGCATTTGAATCTTTGCCTTTTGCTCTGGATTAAATCTATTCTTCACTTGATTATACGGTACTTTGGTACTTTAGGATTTTCCTTTTATTTTTTGAAGAGTCAAACTGAGGTTAATGTTAAGAGAAAATACCAACTTTCTTAGAAAGCAGACTAAGTCACCTGCTTAAAGTGCAATGCTTTGAAACTAAGACACGTTTTTCTTTTAAAAATTAGACAAGGAGAACAAAATGTTACCTTCATTTCCTCTAAAAATGGAGGGAATCCACCGATAAGGGTTATGAAAGTGAGGACTGAAGTAAAAAATGTGAGCAGCGATCCTCTAGCCTGCAGTGTATTGGAAGATATTAATGGCAAACTTTGTGCATTAAGAACCACACATAAATGTGTTGCTTTACTTCTCGTACCTGAATAGATTCAATACTTAAGCCCACGTTATAGAATATGGTACCCAGACTAGTAGCTATTGCAACATACACAGCAAGACGTAACCAGTAATTGCTTATGTCACGGTACATATGCAGGGAAGATCTTCTTATAAGGACAAGGCACTGAGTAACGAGTGCAGCATGGGTTCTCTTTTTCCCAAATGCATCAGAATCCTGTGGTTTATTTAGAAGTTAGTATTTCTTGGATTTCAGTCTTGTTGGTGGTTGAATTTTGAAAAATTGTGCATCCTTGCTGCCCTATGGTTTTTGCTATGAATGTAACACCAAACTTACATTTTCGCTTATTTCTTCCACTTCCTTCAGAATTTGTTGGCGAATTTCAAATGACTTGTAGGACTCCACAAGGGTATTAATCGCTTCTTCTGTTGTTACTCTTTTACCAAAGCCTTCTTCAGGATCCTGGAAATGATAAAAGTAAATTCAAATTTTCTCTAGCATTAACCAAAAGGTTTGAGTGTGCTGAGTGCTGTAGGTTACATTGTAAATTCATGCAAGCGTAAAAAAAACCTTAGCTTACCTGCTCAAAATCCTTGTTTATGATCTTTAAGAAATGATCAGAAGGATTGTAGAGACTTGGGCAAGGAAAACCATTTGAAGCGAAGAACTACAATAAATCAAAGCAGAGTTTCGGAAGTCAATTTAAAATCAGCTTTTCTTGTGCTTTTTTGGAATTATTTAATGATGTAAATAAGGATTCTAGCTCCTGACCTCATTTGCCTCAGATGCAGGGCCAAAATATACTGTTTCACCAGAAGACAGAAGGCAGAGATTATGGAAAAGTTGAAAAACTTCACTACTAGGCTGATGGATAGATGCTACAATTGTTCTTTCAATGCCATCCCTTATGTTTATACTGGCAATTCTGCTCATAACATAATAAGAAGCTGCACTATCAAGACCACTAGTTGGTTCGTCAAGGAAGAGAAGTTTCGGGCGTGTTATAATCTCAATGCAAATGCTAAGTCTTCTCTTTTGTCCACTGCTAAGGCCTCTTGTAGTCCACCCTCCAATCCTGGTGTTGATGGCATCTTGTAGACCCATTTCTCTGAGTGTAGAGTCCGCTCTCTCCTTCTTCTCTTCAATGGACATAGAATCTGGAAGTTGGAGCTGGCATGAGTAATATAAAGCTTCCCCGGCCGTTAAAGTTGACAGCATAGCATCATCTTGGGTGACATATGCCTGTTTTTGCATGGGAAGGGAGTGAGGTTAGTGACAATCTTAAACCTCTTGGACATGGCTTTTGTAATTTTCTTACTGATGTTCCATATGCTAGTGCTTGTCTGTTTCCATTGATTAGAATCTTCCCTGTTTGCTGCATGTTTGAATCTAATCTTCCTGAGACAATAGTTAAAAGCATGCGTTACGACTGCTCAAGTCTTAAACCAATTAATCAACTCAACAAATGATAGAAAGTTAGTTTCCTTCCACTTAATTTCCCTTAATCCTTAGCGTCAAGAGGACAAAATCATGTGATGTCAAACTTGATGTCTATAGCATGGTCCTTCTTTTGCGAAGGATTGTTTTGTAGTTTTCACATCAGTTATCAAACTACTCTAAACAGGAGAACTGAACATCATGATAAAGATAATTCCAAACTGAAAATGCCCAAATTATGCTTGAACATCATTTGGAAATTGGATGCAATACAAAAACAGTATGATGCAGCACATAATTTCCTGGATTCATATAGAGATGTGGCATAAAAAATTGGAACCTGCTAAAGCATCTAGGAGTGTGGTTTTGCCGCATCCTGAAGGACCCATTATGGCCAAAAGCTGTCCTGGCTTGGCATAACCAGTCAGACCCTGCAATATTGGTTTTCTATTCTTTCCACTTCCAACAGTCACCCACAAGTCTTCCCATGTCATGAAAACCGCCTCATCCTCTCTCTGAGTACCTTTGCTTCTATCTGTTGGCTGGATCGCCGTGTTCTCAAATGCAGTAATAAAGTCTAGACTGGTCTGTAGTTCTACAACTTTAGAGTTATTATCTGGTGCTACAGGCGGATGAAGAAGGGAAGCCATGGCATACTTTCTATTTTCTGTGTGTCTGTAATATAAGGGAGGAAGGTGGAAGAGAGCTTGGCTGACTTGAATTGCAGAGGATGAATATATAGGAACGGTTGTGTCGACTAAGAAGTAAGAACAACTAGTCAAGACAGACAAGATGTTTGGTGACTATAATTAGGTCCTATATTAAGGATCATATGAGTATTTGGTGACTACTCCCTGGAGTCCTTATTTAAAAATGTACTAAATGTTGAAACATCCACATGGCAGCACAATTTATAAAAAGAACCACACACATTCAAAAAATTTAAGGACAAGATGTTTGGTGACTATAATTAGGTCCTATATTAAGGATCATATGAGTATTTGGTGACTACTCCCTGGAGTCCTTATTTAAAAATGTACTAAATGTTGAGACATCCACATGGCAGCACAATTTATAAAAAGAACCACACACATTCAAAAAATTTAACACTTATAAAAGAGACGAGTACTAATTGAAAGTCACCGTATCATCAGGCTTAAATTTTTGTTCTTCTCCTCTCCCTACGTTCAAACCCTCATGGGTATCAAGTCTCTTCTGTTAGGCACATTCATCAATGGTATATAGGGAACAACCCGTTGCACAAAGCTCCTGCGAGGAGGGTTGGATCCACTCTCTCTATTATGCGCAGTTTTACCATGCATTTTAGCAAGAGGTTTGGATTCATTTTGAATTGATAGAGCATAGTAACATCGTATAATTTATATATTAGAACCCACTTAGTCGGATAAATATGAAATATGAGGTCTACATTCCTGCATGACCATCCAATGGAGCACCACTATTATGCACAAGGTTTGACCATTTAAAGTAGCCGTAAATGTTGGTCCATCCTTGCCTATATATTTATATACAGTACTCCTCCAGTCCTAAATATAAGACCCTTATACACACTAGTATAAGGGTCTTACATTTAGGACCGGAGGAGTATTTAATTTAAAATAAGATTTTCTTATTTACAAATTTAACTATGCTAGAAATGATAAAACATGACTCCTGAAAATGACGATTTTATTTAAAAAAATGTGATTAAGTTGAGACTAAAAGATGAGGAAGAAAACATTTGACATTTTTTAAACACTCCATTATTGTGCACAGTTTTATCCTGCACTTTTGCAAGGGGGTCAGATTCACTTTGGATTGATAGAGCACAATCCCATCATGTACAATCTATGTAGTCAATCTCATTGAGTGGAATAAGGCTCTTTTTTTTTGTTTTGGCTACACTCAAATTTCCTCCTATTGGAGGTAATCTTATTCTAAGTACTGTTAAGTATTAAATATAAACATCTATTTTAGTAAAAATTTGAACATTGATTCGTTATGATATGAGAGGCTAACCAATTCCATTGGACTTAACCCTTTTTTGTGGCTATTATTGCTATTGGTTTGCAAGAGGTTGCTTCCATAACTTGAGCGGATGACCTACCTCAAGACTGTCCCTCCCAACCACCAACGGAATATACATATATATAAATCTTACAGTATTATAACTCAAGATTTTATTGTCATATATTTCATCATCTATGTTTCATTCATACTTCATACTTCACGAAGTAAGACGACTCAAATGATTGAACGGGATTGTGTTAGACAGGGTTCAATTATTGTAATTTTAGCACTCAAGCATACATGTGCATGATAAGGATGCATGGATGAGGTGGCTGGTTGAAAGAACAATGGATGAATCCAATAATGCTCAAATAATTTTGGTCACTGTGTTGGAGCAAAACTAGTACAACAAAAATATGATGTGGACTTCTCAACAATCTTCCCTCCAAATGCTCTTAAACGATTGATTCCACGCAGATTCCTGTGTATCTTTTTGTGCCAATTCTTTGTTTTCCAGTAAACAAAAGATAAGATTTAATGTAGGATCAAAAGATTTTCCACAATGTTGTGAGAATGTTTAGTAAAGTGGAAAATCAAAAAGGGTTTCCTTATACGATGTTTATCTACATTCATCTGCATGCCACATGGAGTCAAAAAGAGTATCTTAGATTTAAAATACTATTTTTTTTAATTCTTAATATAAGATCTAATTGATTAATTTAGAGATATTAAGAAAATTACTAAATTACTATAAAATATTTATATTTATTATTTTTCTCTGAATTAATTTAACTTTTGTATATATTGATTACCGAAAATAGTTTAGAAAAAACAATATTTATTTATTACAAATAATTATCTTAACTAATTTTCTTAATCTACTCAAACTGGTCAACTAACTACTACTTTCGGTCTTCAAAGAGTTCATTTGATTTTTATTTTGATTATAAATATAAGATCTTAATCTATTTTGTTTTTCATATTTATTTATTTTTGACAAAAACGATAAGCAGGACCATATATACATAACATAATCATGTAATCAAGGTTTTAAACGAGTACTCAATATTTAAAATTGACAAAATAAAATTGAATATAAAATAATCATCATGTAAAAAGATGTAAGAAAAATCACATTATAAGTTTTACATTGAGATTTTTTCAAATTTAAAATTATTTTTCCATAATTATTCTTAATATTCAATGGCACACATTAGCTTGCAATAATTTTTTACTAAGAGAAGTTATTAAGCTAAGCATTAATTAATTAATTAAAAACATGTATTTTAATGAAAGAAGCATTTAATAGGAAAGATAAAATCGATGAGTTTTTTTCCATAAAAAATAAGAATAATCAAAGCAAAGTGATTGGGAAGTGACGCATGCATTACACAGTCTTATCCTGTTATCCTAACTCAACAACTTTTCTTTTGACAGAATTGACTGGGTCCGAAATGTTTACAAAATCAATCAAATCAAATTGATGCCTACGATTTCAGCCTCAAAAAACTGAAAACGGATTGAAAATATGTTTGGGAAACTCAAAACCAAGATTTTAGAAGTACTTTTCCGCAAAACGAGGTAATCTCATCCACATATTTACTTTGTAATCTGTAAAAACACTTCTGAAATCATGGTTTGGTTTCTATCCAAACACCCTTCCAATCCATGAACAAATAAAATTAAAAATTCATGGGGTAAGTTCCATTTTTAGATAACATTTAATATTCTAAATTAATATTTATACATTCTAAAATGCTCAATGGTACTTGATATTCTAAAATAATAATAATAAATTTATCATTATAATTTTAACTTGATTATAACTCATTTCTTAAATTTTAACTCAGTATAACTTATTTTACAGAGCTAAAGTTTAATAATTAAATTACAATTGAATTAAAATTATAAAAAACGAAAGATTAATTTTTTAAAATAATTTTTGATGTAATTTTATTTTTAAAGTATTTTTTCAATAACAACGAGCACCCTAAATATTGAATGCTAATGAAAAATATTTCAAGATACAGAATACACAAAATTATTTTATGATGTTGAGTATCACTAAAAAAAATCAAAAATTAATTTAAAATAGGAAAAATTGTAAAAAAAAGATCATGGAATTTGAAAAATTGGAGACAAAGACCCATTCACAAAATTGTTGTCAAAACCTGTACTATTATTATCAAAACCTATAATAATGTTGTAACAGGTCTTTATTTACAATTTTTCAAATTTCACGGTCTTTTTTTATGATTTTTCTTTTATAATATTGAGTACTATTAAAAAATTATTTTATAATATTAAATACAACTTTAACCCAAAATAAAATTCAATGAGTTCAATATCCACCGCAACAAATTAATGAGAAAATTGTAATAAAATCCGGAAGAAAGAAAATATTAAAAAGTCTTATTGATAAGTGAGAAGCTATCACTTTCTATTTTGAATCTCATTATTATATATATATATATATATATATTCCTTTTTTAGAACTTTGGCAATTCTTCCCAAATTAATTAAAACATGTATTAATAATATGAGAATACTTTATGATAAAAATATTTTTTTGCCTTATGAAAAACATTTTGTATATTTTAAAATAACCGTCACTTAATAGTTTTGATTCCATTTTATAATTATTCTCGGATTCTGATGAAGCATTGATTCCTTCTAAAACTTTATAATTTCTCACTTATTAACTTTTAATTTCATGGTGGCGAAATGATATATAATAGATTGCTACAGAATTAATATAAGTGTTTTGTTTAGTAAAATACAATTAAATGTTTTCCAATTTGTATTATTTAATATTTTCTGAAAATTTTATATGTTAATTTTGCACGAAACATAGAATTTCTGTCCTCTTCTAAAAATTTCAAAAACACACACACTGAAAAATTTTATGTTCTCGAGCTGATTTTTCAGGCTAGTTATGAAGTCACTGTGAGTCATCATCCATACAGCCATACATGGACCAGCCACGACCAAGAACATGGCAATTCTGCTGACCAAATTTAAAAATCAGGCGTGAAGTAAGGAGGGGTCAAATTAAAAATTATTAACTTTGATCATTAATATAAAACTGAATTGACTATATTGAAAAGATTAAAAGTATTTATATTTAATTTTTTTTAAATTAATTTGACTCACTTATAAATTACTTTAATCTAATAATACACATAACTATTTTAAAGAGATTATGTAATATATATTATAATTAAATTTAGTAATTTTTTCAAATTAATTAACGGGTTTTATATTAAGAATCAGAGATAATAGATGGGAAGTAACGAGGCAATAATGAATTTTAAAGTTTCTTAGTAACAAAATTAGAGATATTTTGGATGCCAAACTTGAATTATGGTGCTTGCCTCCTCTTCAAGGAGCTTTCATTAATGTATAGTGAAATCCCTGCCAAATGGCCCACGCCCATCAAGGTACTAATTACTAGAGTACGACATGGGGAAGGAGGTTGCATGTCAAATGCATATTACTCCCCCGTGGCCACACTATGATGCGATGCGCAACAAGGTTTGGTCATTTGAAGTCATAATTAGGTTGAGGGGGTTGAAAAGGAGATGTTTGCCCCTTCCTTAGTAGTAAATGCATGTTCATCCTTCACTCCATGCCTCTATAT